ATTGTTTTAAAGTTAATTAATTTGGTGTTATTTGTTTGATGATAGCTGGCAGTGGTATTCAAGAACAGCGTTTTATTTTTTATTTATTTTGATTTACAGCTTGATTCCACACCGTATTTTCAGTACAAGTATGGAATTTTCAGCATGGATATCGGTAGCCCAAATTCAGGCCGACCATAGATATCGGGTGTGCGCCGGCAGGGGATCGAACCCCGGACCATGTGCATGGTCGGCGAGAGTCCTAACCACTGTGCCATCGACGCACTTAATTCAATCGATAAAGATTTGGTATCTGCGATGAGTGTAGAATTTGAATAACGATGGAAAGTGAAAACATGCAGGTATGTCCAGCTGGCCAGTTCTAAGTAGGATGAAACAAACTTTTACCGGAAATTAGCTTAACATTTGTAAACAGCCAACTAAGGGTGATATTTGCTGAGTAGTTTGAAGAACTTAGATATGGAATCTAAAATCGGTAGATAGTATGAAATTACATCTTGTTTACTGTTTTGTTCAATGAGTACAGTCATAAATATGAAAGACAGGCAACAGAATTACAGTTTCTCCATTCAACAACCTTAAATATTTTAACTCTCTTAAGTTTTATTTTTGACTCTTACCCTTCTAGCTTAATGAAATGAATCAAACACACGAAAAAGAAACTGATCCGCATACTCTTCGTGCTCAGATCATTGCATCCCAGGTAGAAAATATGACGAGGCAACCAATACCAAGTCATCAAGACTACGAAAAAGATGAAAAAGGTGTTGACAAAGTAAATACAAAATCGACTGCCTACTGTGGAGGTCCCTACACAAAGGGAATGACACCAGAAGAAAGAAAACAGTTCTTCAGAACAAAATTAAATCAAAAAGCACGGGAAGGATTCCGTTTCTGGCTGACTGAACGTCCAAAACCAACAAAATGTAAGGATAGGGTTCTACATCAACTGTTTATTTGCACTGTTGTTGTTAAGCTGACAACTAATCGATAAATTTACACTTTAGATGGTTGGAGGCAATCGGCAGGAAGCCTTGGACCTAGGTTTCGTGCTAGTTGGCACTCATCAGCAAGGCGTATCTGCAACCTTGAAGGAACTCATGTCCCTTCTGAGATTCAGTTACACTCTCTCACTGCTAATTTATGCAAGAGATTATGTTTAGATGATTCTAAAAATCATTGGCTTTCTGAATAACATTAAATCCTGATGAAAAATTGCAAAATACCATAGGATACAGTGAATTCATGACCGTAATAACCTGATTGCTATACTTACTGTCAAAAAATTAAATGATGTGGCTGACGAGGAAATATCCGTGCTTATTTATACTACTGATTCCCAAGTAAGTGTCTTGTAAGAAGAAAACCACATTGAAAAGAATATAGCACAGCTTTTAGTATAGACACACATGAAAGGGAGCAACTGTCAAAAAACTTTTCGCTAGTGTTTTTGCATTAGCTTTAAAAATGTAAATGGTCAAAACTGTGTGACTTTTCTATCCGTTATAAAGTGGACTAGTAGATACCTAAAGACAAGTAAACGGCTCGTTGAAAACCATTACTTTCACTTCTATTTGCCAAAACTACATCCAGTTATAAGATTACGACTGACTGGTTTCAATGTGGAACTTTGCACAGAAGTACCGAGCAGTTCGAGTTGCCACACTCCTTTCATGTAGCACACAAAGCAAGAGAAAACAGCAAAGAGAAATTCAAAAGAGAGATACTAAACAGAAGTATGAGGTAACAGAAGTATGCAAGCCCAACTACCACATCAAGGTAGCAGCTATCGGTCGGGCGTATGGAGGTGTGGATTTTCCTTTTGAGATTCCCGGGATGGTAAAAAACAATGAAGACTGGAGACAATCGGTGATATGGCTCAAAATCGTTCTCAGTGGATGGCGCAGATGCATCCACTCCTTGTGACTTATAATACCCAATAAAATTATATTGTTCTTCAATATTACTATTCTTTTTGCCTCATATCTCTGTTTGCTGTCTCTGTTTTGCATTTATTTTTACTTTCTTCTCTGGCTTTGTGTACTGAGTCAAGTGTGGCGACTCGAACTGCCGCACATCGGTGCGTAGTTCTATGTTGAAACCAGTCAGTCAGCCATACGTGACTGGATTAAACTAACTGTTGTGTGTTTCATTAACTGATGAAGCCAGGTTTGGGTTGACCACCACTAACCAACTCTTTTCCAACCTGATCCTATGTCAGCTAACATTGTCCGTCGAGGAAGGTGATGGCTAGACTAGACATGGATAACACATGTCCTAACCATCTGAATCAATGTAACTTCATAACCTCGTCCATTGATTTCGCCTCCCTGCTTAGCACTCGATCGATGCCTTACCTCAATATGTCTCACCCTATGATACCACCTGACATGGAAGATAGAACGCAGACACCTAGGATCAAAGACAGCTAACCTCTTCATGTCTTCCACTTCCAATGGCTATGTCTCACAGCTATAAAGGAGGACAGAGAGGACTGCTGAACAGTACACACGTTCTTTGGTCGACAGCCGGATATCACATCTACACCAGAGATGGCGTGAGTTGGCGTATGTCAAACAGGCCCTCTGTATCTATGCTGAAATTTCGCCAGCGATCAACCCGCTAGGACTGGCTGATGCAACTTTCCAAATGGGTGAAGCTGTCAACACTTATCAGATTATAAAAGGTGTACAGATGTTTTACTTCAGATTGACGACTGACAATCATGAACATATTAATAAATATTTAGCAAATTTTATACCGACGAATATATGGTCGCAGATGTTCGTACATACACAAACATCATTATGTATACATAAAATAAGGATGACTTTTGACCCTACATAATCGAAGCACACATGTGTACCTTCGTCATAATCTCTCGTCTTACGATGATAGGTCAAGCAACCGACTGTGGAGCTACAAAAGCACTACATAGCAAAAAAATAACGATTTCCAATTCTAACTATATCATTTTTATACAATGTTTATTACATTTTCAGTTGGTCATTACTCGATGGGAGCTAAATACACATTTCTGGGCTTGTGCAATGCTCCAAGAAGCTGAACGTTCTCTTATCATGTGGATTCATTATTACCGCACTACCAACTAAGAAAAAAAATATCCAATTTAGTGAAATCATTGTGCTAAATAAACAATTATATGCCCATGAGTCTAGTTTATTTTCGAAAACAAAAGAGATTCTTCAGATTATCGTAAACTGTGACAACAGTACAGTTTATCACTTTTGCTCGTCACACTTCATTTCGTTTTTTTTTTCTCCCCAAGCAGTTTACATCAGTCCAGGCTATCTTCATCCCTTTGACTTTATAGAAAAGTGGGTTTATTCAAGATTATCTGTGGCGGGGGGGGGGGGGGGTAATTAGTGGGTTTTGATGATGGATGCTAAATTCAGCAGAGATAACACTCAGGTGGATGTCGAAAATCCGAAATACTAGAATTCGAAACACCACCAAATAGGAAGTTTTGTTTACAACTGAGATTAAGATACAGACTGAATGCAACTGCAATGCCAACTTCAATTTTGAACTGTTCAAGATAATATCCACAAAATCATACACGCCATTTTCGCAGGCGCACAGTAAATTATATAGAGTACGACACAGACAACAAATATAGGGGTTACTAAAGGATTAAATAAAATAATATGCTGTTTTCACGTTCAATTGAAATTTTACGGATTCAACAAACCTCATTAATATCTAGTGCGAATGCCAGTGTATCATAAGAAATCCTTGCATTCAAAGAAAGATGATGTGACATATCACTACCAAACTACAGTTTTCATTCAGAAATTACTTATTTTCAAACAATTCTGGAGATCTTCGCCAAAGTATAGCGAAAATAACAAAACTATTATAGGATTTCATCATGAGCTGACATTAGTTAGAGAACTATTGGAAAACCTGGGAGTACTGGACAGCTGTTTCGTCCTAGTTTGGGACTCTTCATCAGTACGCACCCACCGGGATTCGAACCCAGGACCTTCTGGTTACAAGGCGAGCTCGTATACCATTCAGCCACTGGGACCCGATCCAATGGCCAACCCATGAATTCTAACTTCTGCCAATTCACGACATAGCGCGACCCCTAGACGATACCTTCGGCGAGTATTTGTCCTCACGTCCGACCTGCTGCACCCTACTGGTCACGACTTCTCACTAGAACCCCAGGTAACTACCTACCTGAATAGGGCAAGTCGCTAGTGAGCATCTCATTGATATTCAAGTGTTGGTTTGTAGGGATTTGATTGGTTACAGGATTTCATCATCAGCTGACATTAGTTAGAGAACCATTGGAAAACCTGGGAGTACTGGACAGCTGTTTCATCTCAGTTTGGGACTCTTCAGCAGTGCGTACCCACTATTATATCCAATTCTTGTGAAACTTCAATAAGTTAGGGGAGTTATTTGAAATATAACACGTGTTACAGAATTCTTGATGAATAGAAAGATCACAAACTGACCATAGTAACGAAAATGACAACAAGGATTGAGGGTGCTTTTATAGGGGGAAACTTTATGCGACCACAGGAAAGTTCCTACGAATAAGTTTATCATGGATCAGAGAGTATATTTACTATGAATATGTATATTATTCAGCCCTAGGCTCTAGAGTGAAGTGTTCCTTACTTGACCCTGTTCCACAGAACAATTGTCTGTTAGCTGTCTAGTTCAGTGAATTTATAATAAACAGAATACTAGCAGACATCAGCTTGTATTTTTGACCCACGCATTCACCGGCTTCATTTCAAACGAAGTAAAGGATAACTTTCCTCAAAAGCCGTCAAGCCGATCCATGAACCCTCAACTACTTAATTTAGAACATTAGCTGCTTGTTATTTTTAACATTCTCCAACAAGCCTTTCTGGATTTCAAACAGCAGGAGCCTTAGGAAGAATGATGATCACTTTACAAAAAAGTTACCCATCAGTAAGAACAACACAATGTACAAAAAAACAATTGAAAAATTTATACTTCCGATGTTCATTACATGACAGTACTTCATGGGGTTCTTCCCAACCAAACTTACTGATCTTCCAAGTGATAATCAGTATATTTTTCTTTGTAACTGTGTACAGTGAGTAAAGTTCAAACAACACTCGAAGAAAACGTTTTGAAATATTTCCAATATTATGAGTTTAAAATGAATGAAACTTCATAATTTAAGAAGGAATGTTATTACCACACAAGATATTTCAAATGCTCAATCAGTATTCGCTAATTATGTCACAAAATATTAGTCTGCCCATCTTAAAAAAACACCCAGATATATTTAAATTGCTTTACTTCAGAATGCAAATATCCATTAACGTTTCACAATTGGAAGCATTGTATGGGTAGGTATAAGCAGATAAAAAAGTAAAGGCACTATTTCGATATAAAACTGTCTCAAAGAAAACCAAGAGTATGAAAATTTCAGAGATTTATATCACCAAATCATATTATATATGTACAAATGGAAGTCAAGTAAAACAACATTCTTAACGTCCTTTTCTCATTCCTTTCGGTTTTCCAGGCCGTCCAGCTTTGCTTTTACCTCTGCCTCCCTTTTTGCCAAACTTAGCTTTATTTTGTCCTCGTAAATCCGCTTTCATTCGTTTATCGACAATCTTAACTTTAGCTCCTTTTGGTGCTTTTGTACTGCCACGTGAACCGGCTTTTGTGTTCACAATCATATGCAGAGGGCGACGTTGTTTCTTTAATAAACCAGCCTTTTTGTACATTCTAATGAGGTGAAGGAAATTTTTAAAAAAACAACAACAACAACAATGGAATAATCGGCCATCATAGTTATAAAGATATATTTCGCGGAAATTAGTAAATCGTTGCAATATTCATGGATTGCACTCACTCCCATATATATATATATATATATATATATATATAAACATTCCGGTCAGTCAAAACAAAATCGGTGTCTGGTTTAGTATTCACATAAATCAAAATGATAAAAGATTGAAAACATTCATTCATCACTGTAGACTATAAACAGTATTCGAAACTTATTTATAAATACTTTGCAGACAAATCCCTTCCCCTTTACAAGTGAATTATAGGCATTCAGTGCGTGGCACAGCGGTTAAAGCGCTCGCCGACCATGCACATGGTCCGGGTTTCGATCCCCGGCCGACACACTCCTTTGCCTCGCTGAGCCAGAAAAAATGCTGGTAAAGAGGAAAGGTTGGGAATGAGGCTAGCAACCCCATCCCGTAAGAAAATAAACATCACTGAATAGGTCAATTCATTTCACGTACATTTTAATAATGACGTCTAAGACTTCGTTACACGTAAATCCTATAAACAGTACCTTATCAAGTCTTCAATTATGCAAAGCATATCCTTAACCACCTCTATCTACAACTTGTACCAATAAAGTGCGAACAATCTATATACTATGGTATCACACATTACAGAGTTAAACAGCTTACTGTTTTATTTGTTGCCATTTCTCAGTTTCGGGTATTTCATCGGATATATCTTCTGCTTTTTGACGAATTCTTTTCAAACGTTTCGCTAGACGAGCCTTTTTACGTGCTTTAGCTTGTTCTGCCTTCGAAAGAGAACGACCCATTGTTGGTATATCGACTGGAATTTCCTCCTAAAAAAGAGAAAAATCTAACTCGTTAAACTGAATGATTAAAGCAAAACTAAGCAATACATTTTTTTCTCAAAATGCAAAATGTAAGGCTACACATGATTTTAGATGCACTCGAAATCAAATTTCTCAGAACTTTATCAGACGCTAAATAATAGTTATGCATCAAATGTGTGGTTAAAACTGTACATACTTCGTGCCCACAATCGTTTGTTGGATAATTCAAAGATGTAGGAAGTGGAAACACCAACATTAGATGGGCAAGTAGATAAAAACTTACACTGAATGTCATGCTTCGATGAAAGTTTTTTTACCGAAGTCAATCAATACCAGTGACATGATATAATTTCTCCAGAATGGCAATAAACTAGCGTAATTAGAAATGGCTTTCTTTGAATAAAACAAAAATTAAAAAATTAATTCAACTTTAAATGTTAACGACATAATATACCGCAAAAACAAATTACTTTTTTAACAACTATAGGTTTTCGCATATGTTTCCTTTCGTCTTCAACAAACCAATCCGGTAACTCAGAGGATTTTTCAAAAAACTGGAAACGATTATATCCTGACTCAAGTAGCTCTCGCCTGGATTTTGCGGACTGAATGAGACGGGTTGCTAAAGCCCGCTCTTCTGGAGTTAACGGGCGATTGAGACGCCGTATGCGATGTATTGATTTCTCAAGTTTCTCAGCTGTAAAATAAGAGAAAGTAGGACTTATAGAAAAATGAACTCAGATCATAGATCAAGAAAATTATCTGAAGATCCCATGATAGGGTAAATTCACATATTAATTGAAGGAACAGTTTACAGAGGATCCATTTGAAAATAAATGAATGGTGAAGAGTGAAATGCCAACATAGCACGATTGCTATGTGCAGTTGAAGATCACTCATGTCAAACATTAGTACCTGCTAACCACACAGAAGTGATCCAAACGCCTGTTTCTTTCGACTGGGATCGACTTTGATGTACCTATCTCACACAGCCGAATCAGTTTAAATTACCAGGTTCTAAATTACTATTTTGGAGAACTGTTGATACATAGAATGAAATTAGTAATCTGGAAATTATACGGTTCAATGTGAAAACAAACAGATTACTTATTTCGAAGTGAATATTCCAAGTTTCTGAAGAAGGCTGCGACAGGTTTCCACCTCAAACTGTGTAGTTTGCAAATAAGGAACTTGACTCAAAAATACTGGTAGTTCCGGTCATTAAAAGCCATAACTGTTTCACTAGAAGACGCTTTCCAAATTACCGTTAAAATCAGACAATTCTCATCGACGCTTCCGTTTGGCAATATACAGTATTAGCACATATATTTCAACACAGAGCTAAGCATCAACCAGTTACAGCTTGAATAATAATCACAGGAAATGTTAAATTTGGATATTTATTGTTGCCTACTGACTGATCGCAAACTAAATGCAGCTATAATGCAGATATAAATTGTAAAGGAAATAAACAACTTATCGAAGAGCATAGACTCTATATTTTGATGATGTCGCTGAGTCACCATTAGGATTATTATGAGGACCCCGAGCGGGGAACGACGAGTTGAGCATCTGAGGGTGACATGAAGGAGACTGTTTTAGGAGATGCAAGCTTATAGGCAATTGTGGGGTCAGCTGAAAAGGACTGCAGAGAACAGAACAAAATGGAGACGTGATGTTGAAGCTCTACGTTCCACGCGGAACCCAAGGGAATAATAATAATAATTAGGATGTGGGTGGAATAATTCAAACGGTTCAAGCAACGTGCTAACACAGAGAGTTTTTGGTTGTTATTTGAATAACTAAAATAGTATAATAAATAAATAAATAATTCAATGTATTCGCTTACGTGAAATTGTGGACGGATCAGTTGTTGACGGCGCTGATACAGAACTATCAACAATTTTAACTTTCTTCTCTTTCTTCGTCTTCTTCTTGTCTATCTCTTTATCTTTTTTGTTTGCTTTGACTTCTAGTGCACAATCCGATTTTCGTGATTTTTTGTTTGATACAAGTGAAATGACATCATTATTATCTTCATTAAGTGGAGTCAATATTTCCTACAATGTATACACATTACAAGATGCATAAAACTTTTAATTGCAGTCAACGTACATTGAAACAAAAGCACACTTATAGTTGACAGCAGTTATAACTCATAAACAATACCTAAAATTACTCCAGACACTTGGAATTCATGTGTTTGGTAAAAATATCGTTCTGAATAAGGAAAAGTGATGACAGCCAATTCACAACAGAACGATCAGTGATTCAAATTTGAACCGGAGATGGACATTCGATTACATTTAGAGCCATTTAATAACATACATCACTATGTGCGTGCTACTTATGACAGTAGATACAAGTAGTGTATAATGTGGTATGCAAAGATAAATAAGTAGAATATAATTATGTTTCATCCACTGGAACAGTGTTAAGCCAAATGCACTTTCAATCTAGCTATGCAAAAGTATCTGAATAGAAATATGTAAGTCTTTTGTTTCAAACTTTTTGACGAATGTCTTGTGTTTGTCTGAAGCTGAGAAGCAAGCAGACACTATAATCTTCATTTCATTACTCTTCAGATACAAAAAATACCCTTGTGTATACAAGACTTCCATACAATCAGGCATTAAATTTCATGTATTCATCTCTCATTGATATCAGCAGCATGTATAGACAGAAAAGAATAATGAAATCGAATATCCATTTATCAGAGATGCAGTACCGTAACCGAGTATTTCCTAAAATACACACCTAGAGGTATTGTTTAGAAAATATGACCGGCTATACATATCCTTACTAAAATCTGCACAACCTGACTGTAAATGAACAATTATCATGTGGATACGACATAGTAGCAATCTACAAACAACTGTAGATTCTGCTCACTCACCCTTAAATACTACTCTAAGCTTAAAGACAATATACAAATAAAAACGCCATCAGTGCATAAACACATTGATATTTACAGTAATTCTTACTTTTATTTCATTTGAACCAAACCACGAATCAATTTTACGCTTCTTTTTCACACTTTCCTCAGCATCATCCAAATCCACGAGTAAGGGATTCCTTTTACCTTGCTCAGTTGTAGATAAAGCTAATCCTGGTGGCAGGATCATTTGCCGCTTAGATTTAGGTTTCTTATCCTTTGAACCCAACTCTGGAGTGTTGGCATTATTTGTATCACTTACATCTCCTGAAGATTCAAAATCTGATTCTAAACTGATATCTTCATCTTCCTTATTCCATTCGTCTGATTCAGAATCACTGCTGTCTTCAGAACTGACATACAAATCATCACGTTGGAGATTAGCTGAAATTGTGAAAAAAAGTGTACAATGATGTCTGTCAACTAAGCAGTCTAGAAAGAGACAGCTTGATCTAATTAGTTTCCCTGCGTTCTATTTCCCGTGTGAAGTGTTATAATAAGGTGAGCAATATAAAGGGTAGGCGTCGAGTGCTAAGTAAAAAGGGGAAATCAATAAATGAGATTGTGAAGCAACTCCATCGATTGAGATGATTGGGATATGTGTTACGCATTCATGTCTAGCCGTCGTCTTCCCCAACGGGCAATGTTAGCTGACATAGGGTCAGTTTGGAAAAGAGACAGTGTTGGTCAAACCAAAACATGGCATCAGTCAATGAAATCCCCAACAGTTAGTTTAAGCCACATAGGAAGATGTAGACTTCCTGATTGGGGTCCTCGGGATGGTAAAAACCAATGAAGGCTGGAGACAATTGGTGATGTGGCTCAAAATCGTTCTCAATGGTTGGTGCAGATGCATCCACTCCTTGTGACTTATAATACCCAATAAAACTATATTGTTCTTCGATATTACTATTCTTTCGCCTCATATTTCTGTTTGCTGTCTCTGTTTTGCATTTATTTTTACTTTCTTCTCTGATTTTGTGTACTGAGTGAAGTTTGGCGACTCGAACTGTCGCACATCGGTGCGTAGTTCTATATTGAAACCAGCCAGTCAGTCTAATTAGTTTAACCAAGACTTTCCATGTATGTGATCAAATAGAAAACATTTTTATAAGTCTAGCATTCTGCAGTTTCGAGTTTGAGGTAGCAAACCCAACCGTATTTATTCTAATAGACTACATTTACCACAAGTCACGAAGAAAGTTGAGAGATTCATATTTAAACTAGTGAGCGGATGACTAGCTTCTTCATAACTGTAGAGATATAAATGACCTAGAAACTAATTACCCGTCATCCCCAGTTGATAAAAACAAATTCATCCGAAAGATGAAAGAGACAAAACAAACTTGAATAATGAATATCTGAAGTCCCGTTTTACAATGATCGTGATGAAGTTTGCTCTGGTAAATAGAAACATTGAGCGATATATGTCAACTTTAGAATATATTCGCAAGGGACTTTTGTGAAGTAAAACTTCAAGACAAAATTCGTAAGAAATAAGATACTATTGGTAAAGTAAAAGTAGTGTATTCTCCTTCTTAAGAAATGACCCAGCAAGTCGTATACACCATCTGGCTTCGAATTTTTTTTCTAATGCCGATATCATAATTACAAGAACTTAATCAGTTATTTTGCTTGTTAATACACGATAATACCTGAAAATCTAAACGAACCCCTACAATATAGGGCAAACAATCAATAACTAACAGAAGTCAAGAGCAAATCAATGCCATAGTTTAATATAAAAAAATAACGCGTCTCGATGTTGCGTTTCCTGAACTTGAATATACAGAGTGCATTAATACTAATGTTAAACCCACCAAAAATAAGCATCAACATTTCAAAGACAGACTTACTAGGCTTTCCACTAACCGATTCATCTGTAGGCAAGTACTCTGCCGTCTGATCCTCAGCACGTCTCTCAAAATGAACGCGTTTCCGACCTTCCACCGCTGAACGTCTTTCATCAGCCAAACTTTTACGTTTAGCCTTTAGAGCAGCGTCAATTTGTTCACGGGCCAAATCATCTGCACCTGTATGACTAGTATCTCCACAAAGTTGGTTAGATTCTTCTAAGCCAACCAGATCGTTTACAGCAGCCAAGGAAAATAACTCGTCATCATTTTGTTCAATATGATCAGATTCATGCGCCATTTTAAGCACGTAACGCTCAGCAAGCTTTCGCTTTTCTTTTCTAACTTTCTTTAACTTTCTGCACAAAACAATGAAGACAATAGAAATAAATAAATGTGACATTAATCTATGCCTCTTTGGAGTAACAAAAAAAATCTTCATGGAGATTTGCAGTAATCAAACTACTCACTTAAGCCCATTTCAATTCGCAAAAATTAAAAGTAACATGTAGCAGGCTAATCAACGCGCGATCTAGAGCTAATTATTGAAAACCAGTTTGGCAAGCAGAAACAGGTAAAGTGGTAAATTTTACAATCAAGTAGCTAATTAAGCCCCAAAGTTATCGAATAAGATAAAATAAATCAATATTTTAAACAATTTCTAAGTCATAATATGATGATATAATATATATTACTAAACTTGTCTTGATTGGATCAAGACGATAACTGTAATACAAAAAAGACTTTTGTTGAAGACTTATTTCCTTTGTCTAACTCAATATAAAATTGCAAACACTGATTTTATGGTCTTACAGACGGGCAATCTCTAAAACAGTAGCAATATAAACGCGCTCCTACTATCGTGAAATGTGCCATATATTCATGCTTTATATTTGCTAGAAGTACATAGATTTCACATACATCAAAACAATAAAACAGAATCCTTAATATGGTCTTGAGTAAAAATTATACATACAATTAAAGTTTAAGATCTTTCATGAAAAAAGAACGAAATTCGAAATTGTTTCGTGTTAAAAAAAGAAAAAACAACTGAACATTACTTTTTCTTCATCTTTTCTTCTTCATTCAACAGTCTCTGAACTTCTGTCTCGACTTCCAAATCTTCTTCATCTTCATTGGCACTCATTTTAGGCTTAACAAGATCAGGTGACTCATTGGTTTCGTTAGACCTAGATGAGAAAGATACGAACCAATTTAATAATTTCAATTGCCAAGGTTCTACTTCGCTCAAAATAAAGCGTTAATATACAAAAATCAGTTACTCATTCAAGAAAGGTAAGATTTAACTTTTGAGATATATTATAAATATTTTATAACCTGTTTGACGTCCTTACTTATTTCCAGGAAAAGGTAACGAAGAGTTTATCTCTTAGTTAAAGCTAAGAAAGAGGTGGGTTCACGAATGTGAAATATGTTTTGAAATTGGTACCTTTGAACTATGTACCGATAACATAAACCAAGTAAACACCATGAAAATTTTGTTTCTAAATACTACATATAATATATTGATAAGCCAATTCATTTCTCAAATGACCACAAATATTGTAAACAATCATTTGTTTCCTATTACCTTTGCAACATAACAAAAGAGCATAATAACAAAACGCTGACTTACTCTTTTGTTTCAGGCTTGAAGATGTTCAGAATCTTAGTTCTCCATTTCAGCAGGTTCCTAAAAATAGAAAACAATGATAGGGATCAAAATAACGCAACTATTTATCATCTAAATAGTCAAATGACTCCTTAACCAAAAACCTAAAATACAGAACACTTGTTCACTATTCGAGGATATAAGGCTGCCAAAAAAAATGAGAAAAGTCGCAAAATTATCACCCATACAAATATGACTATTCCAGTAACTAAAAAGAATGGGTGATACTATAGATTTTCTAAACTTACTAATTATAAATCTATGGAACCAAGTTCTGCACAACTAAGGCTTGTAAGATTCTACAGGAACTAGTGAGTGCAACTGGTGTCTTGTCACGCTTCTCTTTTGAACATATTCACAAAACAGAATGAGCATCGACTTGAAACAACCCATCAGCTACTGTGCACGAAAGGAACAGTCAGAGAATCAGGTTATTTAGCTAAAGTAGACATCCCAAAATAATCAAAATGTTAACACATAGAACACAAGTCTTGTGATTTAAGTGGCGATTGTCTAATCTGACCAGAATTCATCTTTAACTGTAGGGGGAGTGAGGTAACATTAACTTGCTCATAACCTAGTATACGAACTTATAAGTGACTGCGATGATATGTCTACTTGTTCGCATAAGTGTGGGGCTGTGGTGCGTTCGTTTGAGTACTTGACTTTCAGCCAATGGTTCCCCGGTTCGACTCGCGGTCTGGGCAACTGGGTAGTATCATTAATCCCCACACAACTGTAGCTTACAACCTAGTAGTGGGTAACTGAGATATAACTGACTAAATAACTCCAGTGTAACACGCATTAAACAGAAAATATAAGCATTCCCATAGGCTTTCTGAATGCGACTTTTGAACAAATAAATAAATAAATAAGGCTGGAAAAGCGGGAATGGGCGCACTTTATGTAAACATAGTGTGCGATTCAACTACCAGGTGTATCAAACCAAATATTAAGCCTTCTAGTACTGAGGAAAGTAACACTCCAGCAATTATGAAACGTACTTTAATTAATTTAATTAATGGATATTTACCATTTCACCAACGTCTCCATATGACCATGAGCCTCACCTTCAAGCAACTCACCCAGGGATCCAGCCAGAAAACAAACGATAAGGACGGTACCTGCATAAATTCAAACTATATGGGTCTCCTTCACTAACTCATACTGATTACTCTGCACAGTCATCGAATGGAACAGAAGAGTACATGTTCAGATTTGAACCGCAGCAAAAATGATTTAGACTAACAACAACCATCTTGTACGTGTCAATACCCCATATCGTACCGGCCCAAAATGATATACGGCTTTCTAACTATATAAATTTGTCAGCTAATGTGACTACACTAATCCCCGTAATCAAATGTGACACTGGTATACACTAGATCAGATAAAACTATTTGCATTTTTGCGTCGTGTATTTCAAACATTATGTGAACGGTATCTAGTATTCAGAAGATTTAGTACAACTATTTTTTGATTACTGTAGAGAAGCCGACAATCTCCCCATCGATGTGTACTGCTGAACAAATTACAACTTTTACTGTCAGTTGCATAAGATTCATCTTTGTATATAGTGACGCCGCAAGCACTTAGCCTAAATCTTTAATTTTACAGTGGTTAACAGAATAGTAAAGTGATACATAAAAGCCGACGAACTTACAACCAATTTACAATTATAAGCCAAGATTATGAAATAACGTTGCTAACAGTCACCGTGGTTAGGTTTATCGACAAAAAGATAGCTAATCATTCGAATTGCGCATTTCAGACCTACAATTTAGTGTTACATATGTGTGGTAATCAATGCTTTATTAAACTGAATAAGAAAACTATGATCTGGTTGTCCTTACAGTATTCACCAAAAAAAGATTAATGCAATCATAACAACGTAAGAAAGATTACGAAAAATTAACCGAATTAAGGCTGTAGAAGTTGGTAGAAAACTGAATCAGTTGATGTTGCTACACTTCGTAAAAGTACAAGTACAGAAGAGAAAGTAACCAAATTGGCATTTACACATACATACAGGAAAGACAACAATTAGATGAAGATTATTGAGTAATTTAAGGATCTGGAATATCATCACGAGTGAATACATCTGCGCCACTAGGGATAATTTTGAGCTATCTCCAACAATAACCAACTGCTGAATTTTCGCAACCTAAAGATCACAGTGAGGTAGCCTTTACGTCCCTACGTACTCCAAACAAATAAAATACATAATGAAATGGGGACATTTTTGATCTAGCAACCCCTGACTCTTTTGTAACCCGATCCTATTTCGACTAGCACTCCTTGTCGAGGAAGTTGGTAGTCTGGAATGTATACCATATCCTAATCATTATCATCATTTACTTTTATCATCAGGAAAGTAATTCCGCAGAAATCAGGTTAAGCACCCGTGGTCAAAAGAACTCGGAGTTCTAACGTTCTATGAGGGGGGAAAAGAAAAACCTTTATACCTGATCAAGTCAAAATAACCAGTATACAAGATAATTTTACGAATTTAAAAATTACGCTTACAAAGCCATGAACAATAAAGTGAGTTAACACATACTTAATATCTGCTTTTCCAAGAACCTGAATATCATCAAAATCTTCTCTTATTATGGCTGTTGTTAATGGATGACTTGCGATTTCTGGGATATCGAAGATAACCTACAATCATGAAAATAAAATACGACTGGTTACCTTGTTGGTCTTTGCTAAAGATTCCAGAGGATCGTTAGATTTCAGAAATGCAGATAACGGCAGTTCGTGATACAATGTATCACCCTCCTCATAGCCTTCGGCCTTCCTTAGAAATAAATTAGTGAGAAAGTGAACTTACTTTTTTCGACTCTCCTTCAGAAAAGATGACACTACTGTTGCACGATCCTTTGGAACATCAACTTCGCCAAACACGTGCTTTACATCCAAAAACTTGGGGTCAATACGTGCTGGAGCGAGATAAGATTGTCCGACGAGAAAGATTTCTGCTGATTCAAGTCGAGAGGCTTCGGGTTTGATTGCACGTACCGTCCGAAAGAATTGAGATAAAACCCATTTTAAAGGTTCATAATCTCGACTTCTGAATACTTTAGTAACAAACCAACCACCTCTGCGCAGAAACTCTGTAGCGAGTGCAAATGAATGAAGACAGAGAACAGCTACGACAGTTATATAACTTCACAATTCATACCTTGTCCATATTCATCTATTGACCACGAAGCTCCTACATTTGGTGCACCGTCATGCAAAACAACGTCAGCTTTCAAATCATTTAATTCGTTTCGCAAAAGCTAACCAGATAATGAAGAGAAAATATACACAAACCTGTTTGCATTTGTCAGCAGTAATGTCGGCAATAAAGGTTTTTACTCTTGGGATAGGCTGAATAGGGACCAGATCAATGCCTATGATATGGCTCGATACAGGCATTTCTTTCGCTGCAACTTGCAGCCAACCTCCTGGGGCAGCACATAGATCAATTAGAACCTTGGACGAATTTAGAAATCTGAAGCGACGATTTAGTTGAATTAACTTAAAAGCTGCTCTAGATCTGAAACCTAAAATGTTATATCGTAATCTTAAAACATCACCGCACCTGTCTCCTTAGCAAGGAAGTAAAACTTGTCTTTCCTAGCTTTTCCTGTCTTAACCTTTTTACCCATGCCTCTTTGTGTAGCAATACTTTAGATTTCGAGCGCCGAAAGGTTTCAATAGGTACTCAATAAGAAATGAACATTGCTATCTTATTTTCCGAAAAAGACAATCATTGATTACCTAGAAGAATTCGATTTACTTTAAGGAATATTACTTGGCTCTCATGGCGTCTAATGTAGCACGCCTAGTCACATGCCAATGGTACAGTCTAGTTAGTCGGATGTCGGCTACAAACAGATTCAGATTCAGATGATAAGGATAGAAGGCTTTTGTGGCTTGTGTTAATCCTTGCAAAATATACCTCTGCAGAGATCTAACTTCTTTTCGAAATCGTTCACCAATGGAGCTGATACTACTGAATCAGGTAAGGAGTTGCAGTCGTTGACCACTCAATGAGAATCTAAATTCTGCACGTATCTTAATCGTCCTCGGTTTGAGCACCTTTCTGCGGTGACCCCGTAAATGTATCCTAGAAGGGAAGAAAAGTTTAGAAAGGTCAGTTCCTAAATCATCCTTAAGTGTACGGTATGCCAAAATAAAGTCGCCCCTCTTCCTTCGGCATGATAACGGGAAGAGATTTAAATGCTCCATCCTCTTATCATAAGGAAGGTGTGAGATACCACTAACTAATTTCGTTCCTACTCTCTGTACTCTTTCCAGGATATGTGCCTTCTTTTTGAAGCATGGACTCGCCGCTTGTATGCAGTATTCTAGATGAGGCCTGACATATGTTGCGTAGAGTATTTGGAACATGCCCTCGTCTAATCGTTTGAAAGCCCTTCAAAGTGCCCATAGCATTCGAAAAGCTTTACCTGTAGCTGCATTGCAATTTGCAGTTGTTTTCAAATCATTGCTGACAATGATTCCTAGGTCCTTCTGTTCACTAACATCAGGCAGTTCTGTGTCCCCTAGGAAGTACGACGTATAAGACTTCTGACCTAGGTACATTACCGCGCTTTCCTTAGAATCTATTTCCAAACTCCACAGGTTCGACCACTCAGCTAATTTATCTAGATCAGTTTGTAGGGCCGACCTATCCTCGTTATTATTTACAGTTGTCTTCAGGAAGAGCCCCAGTAAAAAGTTTGGGGGACAAATCACTGTAAACAAATGCAGAAATTCTGTGGCAATGCTTTGACGATTCATTATGGCCTCACCACGGTTCACCCTGAATTTACTGATGTTTCATCATGGAAAAAATTTATTTGATAGAATCTCACAGTGTTATAAAGTAATATTTACTGTAAAGTGAATATCACTGTTTAACAGTGTGCGACCTTATCCGGTAAATCGTCTTTATGATAACAGTATACTCTACCACACTGACCAAGTTCTTTTCTTATTCACTGATACCTATTTTAACGTAGCAATCAAGGGGATAAATAAATAATCGGGTGATGGCGTTCTCTACCAGGAATTATCACACGTGCAACACACGCAACACTCTCCATGCAACACCTCAGCCTCTGCTGAGAATTATTTAGTTTACAGAAAACAATTTCTATGCCTCTCTCTAACACTTTTCAGACCTCACTCCCACTTTGCCGGTTGGCAAGTTTCACATTTTGTCCACTATTAAAATTAAGTCACAATACAATACAGTAGGAGGTCATCTCGCCCACGATAATGACCGCCAATTCAAATCGAAAGGAAGTAAAGTGACAGTTATACAATGTCATACACCCACGAACAACGCGAACCTAGAAAAGAAAGAAGAGTTCTACGGATACCTACAGGCAACAATGGACAATACTCCAGTCAGTGATAAAGACGAAAAACGCATATCAGAAGGATATTCACCTGTACCAGTATGTATTGATTTACACGGCATAGTCTTATGGTCATTATCGTGTTTGATATCAAGTTCAGTATCATGATTTGTAGAAGTAGATGGTACCTCCTCTGAAGTCGATAATGACAAAGACGAGGATGATAGTGAAGAAGATAGGGAGCCTTTCGAAACGGGAATCACGTCAGATTTGTCCTCGGACTGACTCTTACAAATCTGTCTGGACACGGCATCAATTTCCTCTGTAGGTAAGGTATGGTTCACCATTTTAGTTTCTCGAAGAATCTAATTTCATGGTTCCAATGTTGTCCACCCTAAGATAGTTTTTCAGACGTCAAGCTAATTAGCTCTACTGAACCTGTCACTACTTGTTACATGTACCTCTGGTGCGTTAATGCCAGTAAGCATTGGTGTATAATAGTGCAGAGGGACTCTTTTGCATGAGTTGGCTTCGCAAATTTAAAAAAACAATTTTGGCACCATGATAATTGCCCTGATTACTAGCCGCAGGTTTGCATTATTGCAGAAAACAGATTTCAGTCTCGAATGTTTAGTTTCAAAGTCAAGGTGGTGTGCAAGTGATGTGGGAAACATAGTTACGCACATGGATGGCACTCATCATTCGATAGACTAGGGAAATTTTACGTATAATAGAAAAGACATGGTTCCTACTGGGTTACTCGTCTCATCCTTCTGAGTTCCTTAATCGTTAACCATATCTGAGTGGTCATAATATACTGTACTGTCAAGACCCTACGCTAGCACTGGTGATGCAGTTTTGGGAGGGCTTAAAAGCACATTACTCCGCCTCATGATAATTTGGTACGATTTTGGACGGGTGTCTAGACATTGTACTATTTCAAGAGTATCATTTAGCAGTCACTACTATCAAGTTCATTGGAAAAACCTGCTCTTACCCTGAAAACAAATCCAAAGCTGTATTAATGAACTCATTCCTCTTTCTTATATACCTAAATGACGTCTGTGATGTTATAAAGCACGGCAGACCCTTCTTATATGCCGATGACTTGATGGTGGTCTACCACAGTACCACCCAAGAAGTGAAAAATCTGCCTCATAAAATCCAATCGGATATTGATAATATTGAGACTTGGTGTCAGTCGTGGAAGATGCAGATCAACGTGGAGAAGTGTGGTCTGTTATGCTCAGCTCGCTTACGTATCGCACCACACATAACTATATACGACAAGCGTATCACTATCTTTTCTTCTGTAATTGACCTTGGGCTCCCTTACTCCGCTGATTTTAAATTCTCTCTCTTTGCCACCAACCAAGTTTCTAAAGCCAGAAGATTACTTGGATTTATATTTCATAACTTTCAAACACAATAATCTGAAATGCCACTTTATAAAACACACATACGGCCCCTCCTTGAGTACTGTCCATTTATCCTAGGCAGCGCCTCTGTTAAGGACAAACTAAAGATTGAAAGTGTTCAAAGGAGATTTACAAGTAGAATCCTAGGAACAAGTCTGAAAGTTCCCTACAACTATCGTTGCACAAATCTTAAGATCGAACCCCTTTGGTTCAGACTTAACCTCATTCTCCTATTTAAAATACTCAAAGGAATAGTATACTTCCCCAATAATAACCTTAACTTTACTTCTTCGACGTATGAACTACGCAGCAACGGGTCTTCTCTAAGTCATATTCTTTGTCGAACGAAATCTCGTTCCAACTTCTTTACAGTCAAGTATAGGCAAACATGGAACTTCTTGCCAAGTGAAATCAAAAACAGCACCACAATACAAAGATTCACCCATCTAGTAAATATTTCTCCGAAAACAGTGTTGACACAGTTTGCCACACACTGAATATTCGTGATATTGTTTCTTTCCCCCTTTGAATTACGTACCTAAACAGCTTTGTTCACCCAAAGCATTAACAGAAAAACGGTCAGTATTATCGGACATATTTAAAATAATCAACATTGCGCTAATGATGTTCTCAGTTCGTTTTTTAGTTGATTCAATTATTTGTCTAGCAAGCATATTTAATATAATATATTTAATGTATATATTTCACATAAATTAAGCATTTACATGATTAACATACCGTTTGTACAGGCATGATCATATTCGACAAGTGCAATTTAAAATGGAACACTTTTTTGACATTAAAAATTGGAAAAATGGAAAAATCCTCTTGAAACTTTGTTAGAATAGATTACAATATATTGGTTCAAGTCTAATTTATAGTCTACAATATACTTATAGTCAGTCAAATTCATGCGGGAATTACGAAATGTTGCGTTAATGGAAGGTAAGAAGAGGGGTGATAAACATGTGCTAGAGTAAGACATACAGGATACAGGCTTTGGGATCATTATCATTTTGTCAATTAATAAGGATTCAAAATTTATAAAACCCCACAGTAGCGGGTAAGTACAACATTATTTTGGTATTAACAGACACAAGGGACCAACTTTGCGATGATAAACAGAATTCGGAATGGAATTTGTTCCGTGGTTCATCACAAAATATCCACAATCCTTTCAAACAAACCTGGAATGGAATATACAGCCTGAAATACTCACCACGAAAGCTGCACTGAATCTACATGAACTACCCTCACACCTCATGTCATACCTTTTCAGTCATTCAATTCCATTTAACCCCAGATTCTGACTGTCAAATAATTCAAATATTATGGCGAATATCCCTGACAAAACTGTATTTTGGGCAGTTCAGTGTAGTAGGAGTAGAGTAGTAGAAAACCTGGATATGGCCGGGACTAAAATCTCTTCTGGTGACTAGCTAATGTTGTGAGTAAATACCATCTACGTCTACGCAAATTCCAGCCCTACGCGGGATCGTCTAAAAAATCACTACACTGTGAGTCTTAAATATTAACGGATTTTATTTTACTGTTATGTTATTATAATCCTCTGTAGTCGAATTCTTCTGAACCATCTATTATAATTAACTACTGTCTCTTTTTATGCATATACAAACATAACTATGTACCTTTATGTATTTTTCTCTTCTCGTAACATTTCATATTGCCCCTTCGTTTCATATGTTTATAACTAAAATCTAGAAGGTAGACTGCAAATCTCTTATTTCCTTACATTTTATTGTACATATATATTTTTAAAATGCTGTTATGGACGATACATACAAAATGGCTGACTGAAAGTAGTCGTTCATACCATGAGTTTCGTTGAGTTAGCTAGTGAATGCAAAAACTGTCTATATGACACGTAGCAATAAAAAAAGATTTTTTTCTCAACACAAAAGGA